TGTGTCTCTGTGTGAGTCTGCGTGTCTCTTTGTGGATCTGTGTGTCTCTGTGTGAGTCTGTGTGTCTCTGTGCGAGTCTGTATGTGTCTTTGTGTGTATGCGTGTCTCTGCGCGGGTCTGTGTGTCTCTGTGTCTGTGTGAGTCTGTGTGTTTTTGACACAGACACAGACTCACGCAGTTTGCTTTGACAATCTTAAGCGATTACGGAATTAGGCCAGAGCAAAATCCCTGCTTAATTAACACGAGACCCTAACGCATGAGCTTAGAGCCGCCGTCACCAGCATCTCCACCGCAATTATCACCATCAACTACAAAGCTCCCCCGTATAGCCTTTAACAGACTGTTGTGGCAAGTGCTGCTAGCGAGCAGCGCCTATGAAGGCCGGAACGGCACACGAAGGGGTGGGTGGCCAGCACCACGCCCGACCGCCTTTGTCTCTCCCAGTCGCGATGTTTACTACACATCACCACCATCGCCACCGCTACACGAGGTAACTCATTTGAGGCTGAGTCCACCTAGGGGAGGCCACGGACCGGATCAGATAATCCATCACTGGTGTTGTTGGCCGTGAGCGGGAATCGAACTCGGGTCGCCGGGTTCGTAGCGCAGCGTAGCGCTAACCACTACACCACCGCTCCCCATATCACCATCATTATTATCATCATCATCGTCGTCATCACCGCGACCACCACCTTCACCATCATCACCACCATCACCAATATCATCACCGTGACAACCATCACCACCGTCATTACTATCATCATCTCCACCATCATCATCGCCACCAGCATCACCACCGTCATTACCATCACCCCCCACCATCACGACTACTGTCACCACCGTTATTACCATCATCATCATCAGCACCATCACCACTGTCATCATCATCACCACGATTATCACCACCATCACCAATATCATCACCATCACAACCATCACCACCATCACCGCCATCACCGCCATCATCATCACCACCAGCATCATCACCATCACCACGATTATCACCACCGCCATCACCATCAACACCACCACCTCCGCCATCACCATCAACACCACCATAATCGCCACCGTCATCACCACCATGAACACCAGCACTATCATCACCACCATCACCACCATCACCACCTTCATCACCATCACCACCATTACCACCACCATCACCACCACCATCATCATCGCCACCAGCATCACCACTATCACCACCACCATCATCATCACCACCATCACCACCATCACCACCATTACCACCACCACCATCACCACCACCAACACCATCATCACTACCACCACAATCACCACCACCATCATCATCGCCACCAGCATCACCACTATCACCACCACCATCATCATCGCCACCATCACCTCCACCACCATTACCCATGTCGCTGTCTCTGGTGCTGAATCCTGCCCCGCACTGCGCATGCGCGCACTGAGTCTCCGAGTCCGAAGTGGACGTGGCGCGCGCATGCGCACTCGGCGCTGTGGCGCCGTTCATTATTTATTTACTGCCTCAATGGTCGCCGGATGTGCGTCTCTATTGTCACGCGTGACGTCTCTATTGTCACGCGTGACGTCTCTATTGTTACGCGTGACGTCTCTATTGTCACGCGTGACGTCTCCATTGTTACGCGTGACGTCTCTATTGTCACGCGTGACGTCTCTATCGTTACGCGTGACGTCTCCATTGTTACGCGTGACGTCTCTATTGTCACGCGTGACGTCTCCATTGTTACGCGTGACGTCTCTATTGTCACGCGTGACGTCTCTATTGTTAGGCGTGACGTCTCCATTGTCACGCGTGACGTCTCCATTGTCACGCGTGACGTCTCCATTGTTACACGTGACGTCTCTATTGTCACGCGTGACGTCTCCATTGTCACGCGTGACGTCTCCATTGTCACGCGTGACGTCTCCATTGTTACGCGTGACGTCTCTATTGTCACGCGTGACGTCTCCATTGTTACGCGTGACGTCTCTATTGTCACGCGTGGCGTCTCCATTGTTACGCGTGACGTCTCTATTGTCACGCGTGACGTCTCCATTGTTACGCGTGATGTCTCCGTTGTTACGCGTGATGTTTCCGTTGTTACGCGTGACGTCTCTATTGTCACGCGTGACGTCTCCATTGTTACGCGTGACGTCTCCATTGTCACGCGCGACGTCTCTATTGTCACGTGTGACGTCTCTATTGTTACGCGTGACGTCTCTATTGTCACGCGTGACGTCTCCATTGTTACGCGTGACGTCTCTATTGTCACGCGTGACGTCTCTATCGTTACGCGTGACGTCTCCATTGTTACGCGTGACGTCTCTATTGTCACGCGTGACGTCTCCATTGTTACGCGTGACGTCTCTATTGTCACGCGTGACGTCTCTATTGTTACGCGTGACGTCTCCATTGTCACGCGTGACGTCTCTATTGTCACGCGTGACGTCTCCATTGTCACGCGTGACATCTCCATTGTCACGCGTGACGTCTCTATTGTCACGCGTGACGTCTCCATTGTCACGCGTGACGTCTCCATTGTCACGCGTGACGTCTCTATTGTTACGCGTGACGTCTCTATTGTCACGCGTGACGTCTCCATTGTTACGCGTGACGTCTCTATTGTCACGCGTGGCGTCTCCATTGTTACGCGTGACGTCTCTATTGTCACGCGTGACGTCTCCATTGTTACGCGTGACGTCTCTATTGTCACGCGTGACGTCTCCATTGTTACGCGTGATGTCTCCGTTGTTACGCGTGATGTCTCCGTTGTTATGCGTGACGTCTCTATTGTCACGCGTGACGTCTCCATTGTTACGCGTGACGTCTCCATTGTCACGCGCGACGTCTCTATTGTCACGCGTGACGTCTCTATTGTTACGCGTGACGTCTCTATTGTTACGCGTTGCATCTCCATTGTCACGCGTGGCGTCTCCATTGTGACGCGCGACGTCTCTATTGTTACGCGTGACGTCATCGCGCCACCTCATGCCCCCCAAATTGTTCTCCGAAAACGAACGGACGGGCACTGTGACACTCAAACGTAACAATCGTTCATGTTGCTGAGCTGCCGTGCTGCACCTGCGTCAGCAAGCCCTCACCTGGCCATCACAGATGACGGCAGCTGGACGATACACAAAGAGATACACGCAGCGGCACATAGATACACATAGAGACCCGTAGAGATACATAGAGACACATAGGTACACATAGATATACAAAGAGATACACATAGAGACCCATAGATACACACAGAGACCCGTAGATACACATAGAGGCCCGTAGATACACATAGAGACCCATAGATACACATAGACCCATTGATACACATAGAGACCCGTAGATACACACAGAGACCCATAGATACACAGAGACCCATAGATACACATAGAGACCCATAGATACACATAGACCCATAGATACACATAGAGACCCATAGATACACATAGAAACCCATAGATACACAGAGACCCATAGAGATACACATAGAGACATTTAGATACACATAGAGACCCATAGATACACATAGAGACCCATAGATACACAGAGACCCATAGAGATAGACATAGAGACACATAGATACATAGAGACCCATATATACACATAGAGACCCATAGATACACATAGAGACACATAGAGATACACATAGACCCATAAATACACATAGAGACCCGTAGATACACATAGAGACACATAGATACATAGAGACCTATAGATACACATAGAGACACATAGAGATACATAGAGATCCATAGAGATACATATAGACCCATAGAGATACATAGAGATCCATAGAGATACATAGAGACCCATAGAGATACATAGAGATCCATAGGCACAACGCAGAGACTCGTGGAGATACACACAGAGACCCGTAGATACACATAGAGGCCCATAGATAAACATAGAGACCCATAGAGATACATAGAGATCCATAGATACACATAGAGACCCATAGAGATACATAGAGACCCATAGATAAACATAGAGACCCATAGAGATACATAGAGATCCATAGATACACATAGAGGCCCATAGAGATACATAGAGACCCATAGATAAACATAGAGACCCATAGAGATACATAGAGACCCATAGATACACATAGAGATCCATAGGCACAACGCAGAGACCCGCAGAGATACACACAGAGACCCATAGATACACATAGAGACCCATAGATACACATAGATACACATAGATACACATAGAAACACATAGATACACATAGAGACATAGAGACCCATAGATACACATAGAGACCCATAGATACACATAGATACACATAGAAACACATAGATACACATAGAAACACATAGAGATTTTGTACGATTTTTGACCCTCCCCTTCGTCACTCGACGTCCACGGCGTCACACCCCCCCTCAAATATGACGTCACAAAGCTCTGCCCCCCCCCCCCCAAAAAAAGAAAAATGGTTCAAATCGCTTTGAACTATTGTCATTGTAGTGCGTATTTAATGTGGCGCTGCACTCTGATGTTGTAGGAGAAAACATTTATTAAAAAGTTTATTTAATTAAATAGAACGTGTTGTCTGTATTTATTTAAAGTTGCGCATTTTGATGTGACGTCACATTTCTCAACCCCCCCCACTCGTCACATATCGTCATAAATGTCTGACCACCCCCCCTAGGTGCGTGACGTCATTTATGGACGGCCCCTAAGGCTACACGGGGGACCTTTGTTTTTGTATTGTTTGTTGATGTTGTCACGTTCTTACATCGCGTGCCTCCTACTGGACCATCTGGGATCTTAGAAATAGAGCTTTATAGCTCATCGGATTCCTCCTGCTGCAGTATAACTATTCTGATAAATACATGACGTCATATTGCAATAGCTATGACTGCGTGAAGATACGATTACGTCACGACACCTTCTCTCAGCTGGGCGCGTGACGTCTACCCTCCCCCCCCCTCCTCTAGTCGCGCGCGTGCGTGACGTCACGGCCGTAGCAACGCCCCCCCTACCCACCCCCGCGGTCTCCAAGGCGACGCCCCCCCCCCACGCACCACCCCGACGTCTCCATGGCGACGCTACCGCCGCCATGATCCGGGGCGGCTCGGAGTCGGCTAATCCGCTTAAAAGCGTAACGCGATCAATCCGTCGGCATCCGCTGCCATCGGCCGCCACCGCCGCCGATTAACCCAATCCCAAGCCCTCTCCGTCTCTTAATCGGCGGGGAATCGATCGCCGTTCGAGCCTAAACCTCGCTGAGAAGGAAGCTTTGTGCGGTGTAGGGGGGGGAGGGAGTCGGCGTCCACCCCGCGTCTCCATGGCAACCACCACCGCCACCAATGGCGGCCTAGTCACACGCAACCTAGGCAAAGCCTGGGTCGCGTAAGTTAACAAACTAAACTCACGATATATATTTTGTTTAAGTTAACGAGAACTTGTTTTTGTTTGTTCAGTTTTATCTTCGCTCCATTTCCGTTTGAACTCTCGGCAGAAGATCGTCGCCGCGTGAATGGCGGTGAGTAACGCTTTAGTGACATTTAGTTTTAGCGATTACTTTTGGAAAGCGGTTCTCGTGTTAACCGATACCAGCTACTTAGACTAACATTACATATAGACTAACATAGACTAACATTACATATAGACTAACATTACATATAGACTAACATTACATATAGACTAACATTACATATAGACTAACATTACACATAGACTAACATTACATATAGACTAACATTACATATAGACTAACATTGCATATAGACTAACATAGACTAACATTACATATAGACTAACATTACATATAGACTAACATTACATATAGACTAACATTACATATAGACTAACATTACACATAGACTAACATTACATATAGACTAACATTACATATAGACTAACATTACATATAGACTAACATTACATATAGACTAACATTACATATAGACTAACATTACATATAGACTAACATTACATATAGACTAACATTATACATAGACTAACATTACATATAGACTAACATTACACATAGACTAACATTACATATAGACTAGCATTACATATAGACTAACATAGATTAACATTACACATAGACTAACATTACATATAGATTAACATTACATATAGACTAACATTACATATAGACTAACATTACATATAGACTAACATTACATATAGACTAACATTACACATAGACTAACATTACACATAGACTAACATAGATTAACATTACACATAGACTAACATTACATATAGACTAACATTACATATAGACTAACATTACATATAGACTATCATTACATATAGACTAACATTACATATAGACTATCATTACATATAGACTAACATTACATATAGACTAACATTACACATAGACTAACATTACATATAGACTAACATTACATATAGACTAACATTACATATAGACTAACATTACATATAGACTAACATTATACATAGACTAACATTACATATAGACTAACATTACACATAGACTAACATTACATATAGACTAGCATTACATATAGACTAACATTACATATAGACTATCATTACATATAGACTAACATTACATATAGACTAACATTACACATAGACTAACATTACATATAGACTAACATAGACTAACATTACACATAGACTAACATTACACATAGACTAACATTACATATAGACTAACATTACATATAGACTAACATAGACTAACATTACATATAGACTAACATTACATATAGACTAACATTACATATAGACTAACATTACACATAGACTAACATTACATATAGACTAACATTACATATAGACTAACATTACATATAGACTAACATTACATATAGACTAACATTACATATAGACTAACATAGACTAACATTACATATAGACTAACATTACACATAGACTAACATTACACATAGACTAACATTATACATAGACTAACATTACATATAGACTATCATTACACATAGACTAACATTACATATAGACTAACATTACATATAGACTAACATTACATATAGACTAACATTATACATAGACTAACATTACATATAGACTAACATTACACATAGACTAACATTACATATAGACTAACATTACATATAGACTAACATTACATATAGACTAACATTACATATAGACTAACATTACATATAGACTAACATTACATATAGACTAACATTACATATAGACTAACATTACACATAGACTAACATAGACTAACATTACATATAGACTAACATTACACATAGACTAACATTACATATAGACTAACATTACACATAGACTAACATTACATATAGACTAACATTACATATAGACTAACATTACATATAGACTAACATTACATATAGACTAACATTACACATAGACTAACATTACATATAGACTAACATTACATATAGACTAACATTACATATAGACTAACATTACATATAGACTAACATTACATATAGACTAACATTACATATAGACTAACATTACACATAGACTAACATTACATATATACTAACATTACATATAGACTAACATTACATATAGACTAACATTACACATAGACTAACATTACATAGAGACTAACATTACATATAGACTAACATTACACATAGACTAACATTACATATAGACTAACATTACATATAGACTAACATTACACATAGACTAACATTACATATAGACTAACATTACACATAGACTAACATAGACTAACATTACACATAGACTAACATTACATATAGACTAACATTACATATAGACTAACATTACATATAGACTAACATTACACATAGACTAACATAGACTAACATTACACATAGACTAACATTACATATAGACTAACATTACATATAGACTAACATTACACATAGACTAACATAGACTAACATTACATATAGACTAACATTACATATAGACTAACATTACATATAGAATAACATTACATATAGACTAACATTACATATAGACTAACATTACACATAGACTAACATTACATATAGACTAACATTACATATAGACTAACATAGACTAACATTACATATAGACTAACATAGACTAACATTACATTTAGACTAACATTACATGTAGACTAACATTACATATAGACTAACATTACATATAGACTAACATTACATATAGACTAACATAGATTAACATTACACATAGACTAACATTACATATAGACTAACATTACATATAGACTAACATAGACTAACATTACACATAGACTAACATAGACTAACATTACACATAGACTAACATTACACATAGACTAACATTACATATAGACTAACATTACATATAGACTAACATAGATTAACATTACACATAGACTAACATTACATATAGACTAACATTACACATAGACTAACATTACATATAGACTAACATTACACATAGACTAACATTACACATAGACTAACATTACACATAGACTAACATTACATATAGACTAACATTACATATAGACTAACATTACATATAGACTAACATTACATATAGACTATCATTACCCATAGACTAACATTACACATAGACTAACATTGCCCATAGGATAACATTGCACTTAGACTAGCACTGCCCATATCCTAACATTGCCCATAGACTAACATTACCCATAGACTAACATTGCCCATAGACTAACATTGCCTATCGACTAACATTGCCCATAGTCTAACATTGCCCATAGACTAACATTGCCCTCAGATTAACATTGCCCACTAAACTATTTTGTATGTTACCAGGTGTAAGGGCACACTCAGCTTCTGTTTAGCTCTTTTCAGACAAGCGACCTGGCCGTCAATAAATTGTAGCAGCTCAACAAAGTAGTTGATATCATCATCACGTGGACATTCATAGCAGCAAACTAATCTTAATCCATGATACGGTTGTTTGGGTTAAATTGCGTAAATATAAATGTGTTGTTAAACCCGCCACCACCCAACACAGCCAATTTGTAAGGTTTGTCAAGTTAACATAACATGCCAATTCGTCACAAGTACAGCACTACACCGGTGTGTTGGAGAGTAAACCCACAATATTTGCAATCTTGAGTAGGACGTTTCGCCAGTAATTACAACCAGCATTATCAGGCAACAAATCTGGCTGTCACTAAATCATAGCTGCTCAAAAAAGTGGCTGATATCATCATCATCATCACCACCCAGAAATGTATAGCAGCGAAATAATATAAATAATCTCAATGCTCTTTTCTAAAACACGGTTTAATCTAAGCAGGTAAAGCCCGCTGAGCTAATTAACTAATCTTTCAGAAGCAGACTTGGCCATCGCTAAATGATATCAGCTCAATAAAGTGGCTATCATCATCATTATCATCACATGGGCATTTGTAGCGGCAAAATAATCCAAAACGATCTCGGTGCTTAAATCTCGACCTGAAGCTTTCCGTGACTGCAGGATTTCTCACTCTTTGGGTCTTTCGGTAAAGTCGCATAGGTAGAAGAAGAATTTTTTTTTTAAATCACGACGTTTCGATTGCAACACGAGCAATCGTCTTCAGGTGAAAAAATCCAGCAGGCGAACTGCTGAGGCAGGAGAAATATAGCGGGAGAGCCGCTGCAACGAGAGCTTGTGTAGGTTTTTAGATGGGCGTAAGTGGGCGGGGCTAGAGATGGAATTTGCACGTGAACGTAAAATCGGAGAGCTGACGTGCCTCACGACTACGGTGCTGAAGAGGCGGCCATTGTATTGCTAGTAAACATCACCGTTCGGGAGACAAAGGCAGCCGGCCTTCATAGGCGCTCACTAACAGCACTTGCCCCAGCAGTCTGCTAAGGCTACGATTGGGGATATTTGTCTTTTTGTGTGTATGTGTGTATGTCTGTGCGTGTGTATGTCTGTGTGTGTATAGTGGTAGCGGTTAGCGCTACGCTGCGCTACGAACCCGGCGACCCCGAGTTCGATTCCCGCTCGCGGCCAACACCAGCAGTGACGATTATCTGAACCGGTCCCGGGCCTCCCCTAGGAGGTCGACTCAGCCTCAAATGAGTACCTGGTGCGGTGTGTAGTAAACATCGCCACCGGGGGAGACAAAGGCGGTCGGGCGTGGCGCTGGCCACCCACCCCCTCGTGTACCGTTCCGGCCTTCATAGGTGCTCGCTAACAGCACTTGCCTCTACAGTCTGTTAAGGCTGTATGGGGGGGGGTCTTTGTATGTGTCTGTGTGTGTCTGTGTGTGTGTCTGTGTGTGTGTGATGCAACCCCAGCCCGTCACCTTCTACGCGGTCACGGCCGCACCCAACGTCTGGTCTCTTCCGCTCCCTCTGCCCGCCCTCCTCGCCGCCATCGTGGGGGCCTACGTGCTGCTGCTGGTGCTCGCCCTGCTCCTGCGCTACTGCTGGACGGTGCGGGCCCAACGGTCATTTTTCTTGGTTCTTTCGGTAAAGTCACGTAGAAGGGGAAATGAATAATAATAATACAAATATAAAACAATGAAATGATCACGACGTTTCGATTGCAACACAAGCAATCGTCATCAGGTGTGAAAACCACAGCAAGGAAATGTTGAAAGAAGTGGCCGTTTTTTCTGAACGTTAGCACCACGGACAGCAACTGACGGTTGTTTAGACGGACGAGTCCATCTGTGCTCGGAACGGAGGAGGAGGGGGGGGGGGAGCTAGAAAGAGAATGGAATGCGGTCTGAAAGTCACCGTAAGCGTGAACACAATCAATTAAGACCCGAAATGGTTTATCAAATCCTTCCAATGATTGCTAAGCCAGAATCCATCTTCTCGGTTGAAATTGTCTCTGTATATGTGGATAGCCTCATGAACGAATCTCTCCTTTCTGAGTGACTTTACCGAAAGAACCAAGAATATGAATCCCTGCAGTCACGAAAGCTTTAAATCGAAATCCAACGGTCATTGTCAACGCCAATGAATGACAACAACAAATTGAACTGACTCTGTTTATCATCCATAAGAGGTTTTTTGGGTTCAATCGCGTAAATATATAAATGTGTCGTTCAACCCGCCACCACCCGATACAACCAATTAATAAGGGTTGTCACGTAAACAGAACGTGCCAATTCGTTACTAGTACAGCACTAATGTATAGTGGAGTGTATAGTAGTGTATAGTGTAGTGTATAGTAGTGTATAGTGTAGTGTACTAGTACAGCACTAATGTATAGTGGAGTGTATAGTGTAGTGTACTAGTACAGCACACCTGTGTGTTGGAGAGCCAAGCCAGATTGTAAATGTTGTGGCTTGGCTCTCCAACACAGCGGTGTGCCATACTAGTACACTACACTATACTACTATATACTACACTATACACTACACTATGGCACTGGCGGAGCAAGTGGGGGGGTTAGGGTGGCACGTGCCCCCCCCAATGATCCGATCGAAATCCCTAATTTCGATCGGATCATTGGGGTTTATTAGTAATAAATCAGCATTTTGCGACCCCCACTGCCACTGTGTAGCCTATTATTACGTGCCAGGGACTCTACGAGATGATAGGACAATAGTCTGAGTCCATAATTGGCAATAAGTAACGGCAAAGGAGTTATAAGTGGCTCACGGAATTGTGCGCAGTTGCGTATACAGAGTCCACGACTTCCCTGAAGGCATCGACACCTTCAGCGAGCGCGATGCCGATCACTAACAACGCGGTTCGAATTCGACCCTCGATCGATGGCTATGCCATCGTCGCACACGCGTCTAATAAAAAGCAAGGGACAAGTCCTTGCTTACTAACAACTCCTTACTTACTAACAACTCCTTACCTACTAACAACTCCTTGCTTACTGACAACTCCTTACTTACTAACAACTCCTTGCTTACTAACAACTCCTTGCTTACTAACAACTCCTTACTAACAACTCCTTGCTTGCTAACAACTCCTTACTTACTAACAACTCCTTGCTTACTAACAACTCCTTGCTTACTAACAACTCCTTACTTACTAACAACTCCTTACTCACTAACAACTCCTTACAAACTAATAATTCCTTACTTACCAACAACTCATTACTTACTAACAACTCCTTACTTACTAACAACTCCTTACTCACTAACAACTCCTTGCTTACTAACAACTCCTTACTTACTAACAATCTCCTTACTTACTAACAACTCCTTACTCACTAACAACTCCTTACAAACTAATAATTCCTTACTTACTAACAACTCCTTACTTACTAACAACTCCTTACTCACTAACAACTCCTTACAAACTAATAATTCCTTACTTACTAACAACTCCTTACTTACTAACAACTCCTTACTTACTAACAACTCCTCGCTTACTAACAACTCCTTACTTACTAACAACTCCTTACTTACTAACAATCTCCTTGCTTATTAACAACTCCTTACTTACTAACAACTTCTTACTTACTAACAACTCCTTACTTACTAACAACTCCTTACTTACTAATAACTCCTTACTTACTAACAACTCCTTACTTACTAACAACTTCTTACTTACTAACAACTCCTTACTTACTAACAACTCCTTACTTACTAACAACTCCTTACTCACTAACAACTCCTTACAAACTAATAACTCCTTACTTACTAACAACTCCTTACTTACTAACAACTCTTTACTTACTAACAACTCCTTGCTTACTAACAACTCCTTACTTACTAACAACTCCTTACTTACTAACAATCTCCTTGCTTACTAACAACTCTTTACTTACTAACAACTCCTTGCTTACTAACAACTCCTTACTTACTAACAACTCCTTACTTACTAACAACTTCTTACTTACTAACAACGCCTTACTTACTAACAACTCCTTACTTACTAACAACTCCTTACTCACTAACAACTCCTTACAAACTAATAATTCCTTACTTACTAACAACTCATTACTTACTAACAACTCCTTACTTACTAACAACTCCGTACTTACTAACAACTCCTTGCTTACTAACAACTCCTTACTTACTAACAACTCCTTGCTTACTAACAACTCCTTGCTTACTAACAACTCCTTGCTTACTAACAACTCCTTACTAACAACTCCTTACTTACTAACAACTTACTTACTAACAACTCCTTACTCACTAACAACTCCTTACAAACTAATAATTCCATACTTACTAACAACTCCTTGCTTACTAACAACTCCTTGCTTACTAACAACTCCTCACTTACTAACAACTCCTTGCTTACTAACAACTCCTTGCTTACTAACAACTCTTTACTCACTAACAACTCCTTACTTACTAACAACTCCTTGCTTACTAACAACTCTTTACTCACTAACAACTCCTTACAAACTAATAATTCCTTACTTACTAACAACTCCTTACTTTTGATTTAAAGCTTTCGTGACTGCAGTAATTCATATTCTTAGTTTTTTCGGTAAAGTCACGTTGAAGAGAAACAACAAAATAACAAAATATATATAAAACAATAAAAAATTCTCACGACGTTTCGACCATAACTCAAACGGTCATCATCAGGTGTGTCGGTTTGCATAACTCAAACGGTCATCATCAGGTGTGTCGGTTTGCATTTTGCATTTATGCAAACCGACACACCTGATGATGACCGTTTGAGTTATGGTCGAAACGTCGTGAGAATTTTTTATTGTTTTATATATATTTTGTTATTTTGTTGTTTCTCTTCAACGTGACTTTACCGAAAAAACTAAGAATATGAACTGCTTACTTACTAACAACTCCTTGCTTACTAACAACTCCTTGCTTACTAACAACTCCTCACTTACTAACAACTCCTTGCTTACTAACAACACCTTGCTTACTAACAACTCCTTGCTTACTAACAACTCCTTACTTACCAACAACTCCTTGCTTACTAACAACTCCTTACTTACTAACAACTCCTTGCTTACTAACAACTCCTTGCTTACTAACAACTCCTTGCTTACTAACAACTCCTTACTAACAACTCCTTACTTACTAACAACTTACTTACTAACAACTCCTTACTCACTAACAACTCCTTACAAACTAATAATTCCATACTTACTAACAACTCCTTGCTTACTAACAACTCCTTGCTTACTAACAACTCCTCACTTACTAACAACTCCTTGCTTACTAACAACTCCTTGCTTACTAACAACTCCTTGCTTACTAACAACTCTTTACTCACTAACAACTCCTTACTTACTAACAACTCCTTGCTTACTAACAACTCTTTACTCACTAACAACTCCTTACAAACTAATAATTCCTTACTTACTAACAACTCCTTACTTTTGATTTAAAGCTTTCGTGACTGCAGTAATTCATATTCTTAGTTTTTTCGGTAAAGTCACGTTGAAGAGAAACAACAAAATAACAAAATATATATAAAACAATAAAAAATTCTCACGACGTTTCGACCATAACTCAAACGGTCATCATCAGGTGTGTCGGTTTGCATAACTCAAACGGTCATCATCAGGTGTGTCGGTTTGCATAAATGCAAACCGACACACCTGATGATGACCGTTTGAGTTGGTGTGTCGGTTTGCATAAATGCAAACCGACACACCTGATGATGACCGTTTGAGTTGCATAAATGCAAACCGACACACCTGATGATGACCGTTTGAGTTATGGTCGAAACGTCGTGAGAATTTTTTATTGTTTTATATATATTTTGTTATTTTGTTGTTTCTCTTCAACGTGACTTTACCGAAAAAACTAAGAATATGAACTGCTTACTTACTAACAACTCCTTGCTTACTAACAACTCCTTGCTTACTAACAACTCCTCACTTACTAACAACTCCTTGCTTACTAACAACTCCTCGCTTACTAACAACACCTTGCTTACTAACAACTCCTTGCTTACTAACAACTCCTTACTTACTAACAACTCCTCTATCATTTTTCATTGCTGGAGGGGTTGCCCGTCCTACCTGAAAATCCTGACTCCGCCATTGTGTCCATGCCCTGAGTGTCTCTCCTCTGTCTCTCTCTGTCTCTCTGTATCTCTCTCTCTCGGTGTCTCGCTCTCTGCATTTCTATACGTTTCTCTCTCTGTCTCTCTGTATCTCTCTTTCTCTCTCGGTGTCTCGCTCTCTGCATTTCTATACGTTTCTTTCTCTGTCTCTCTGTATCTCTCTCTCTCTCGGTGTCTCGCTCTCTGCATTTCTATACGTTTCTTTCTCTGTCTCTCTGTATCTCTCTCTCTCGGTGTCTCGCTCTCTGCATTTCTATACGTTTCTCTCTCTGTCTCTCTATCTCTCTCTCTCTCGGTGTCTCGCTCTCTACATTTCTATACGTTTCTCTCTCTGTCTCTCTGTATCTCTCTCTCTCTCGGTGTCTCGCTCTCTACATTTCTATACGTTTCTTTCTCTGTCTCTCTATCTCTCTCTCTCTCTCGGTGTCTCGCTCTCTGCATTTCTATACGTTTCTTTCTCTGTCTCTCTATCTCTCTCTCTCTCTCTCGGTGTCTCGCTCTCTGCATTTCTATACGTTTCTCTCTCTGTCTCTCTCTCTCTCTCTCTCGGTGTCTCGCTCTCTACATTTCTATACGTTTCTTTCTCTGTCTCTCTGTATCTCTCTCTCTCTCTCTCGGTGTCTCGCTCTCTGCATTTCTATAAGTTTCTTTCTCTGTATCTCTGTATCTCTCTCTCTCTCGGTGTCTCGCTCTCTGCATTTCTATAAGTTTCTTTCTCTGTATCTCTGTATCTCTCTCTCTCTCGGTGTCTCGCTCTCTGCATTTCTATAAGTTTCTTTCTCTGTCTCTCTGTATCTCTCTCTCTCTCGGTGTCTCGCTCTCTGCATTTCGATACGTTTCTCTCTCTGTATCTCTCTCTCTCTCGGTGTCTCGCTCTCTGCATTTCTATACGTTTCTCTCTCTGTATCTCTGTATCTCTCTCTCTCTCGGTGTCTCGCTCTCTGCATTTCTATACGTTTCTTTCTCTGTCTCTCTGTATCTCTCTCTCTCTCTCTCGGTGTCTCGCTCTCTGCATTTCTATACGTTTCTTTCTCTGTCTCTCTGTCTCTCTGTATCTCTCTCTCTCGGTGTCTCGCTCTCTGCATTTCTATACGTTTCTTTCTCTGTCTCTCTGTATCTCTCTCTCTCTCTCGGTGTCTCGCTCTCTGCATTTCTATACGTTTCTTTCTCTGTCTCTCTGTATCTCTCTCTCTCTCTCGGTGTCTCGCTCTCTGCATTTCTATAAGTTTCTCTCTCTGTCTCTCTGTATCTCTCTCTCTCTCTCTCGGTGTCTCACTCTCTGCATTTCTATACGTTTCTCTCTCTGTCACTCTGTATCTCTCTCTCTCTCTCGGTGTCTCGCTCTCTGCATTTCTATAAGTTTCTCTCTCTGTCTCTCTGTATCTCTCTCTCTCTCTCTCGGTGTCTCGCTCTCTGCATTTCTATACGTTTCTATCTCTGTCTCTCTGTATCTCTCTCTCGGTGTCTCGCTCTCTGCATTTCTATAAGTTTCTTTCTCTGTCTCTCTGTATCTCTCTCTCTCTCGGTGTCTCGCTCTCTGCATTTCTGTACATTTCTTTCTCTGTCTCTCTGTATCTCTCTCTCTCTCTCGGTGTCTCGCTCTCTGCATTTCTATACGTTTCTTTCTCTGTCTCTCTCTCTCTCGGTGTCTCGCTCTCTGCATTTCTATACGTTTCTTTCTCTGTCTCTCTGTATCTCTCTCTCTCTCGGTGTCTCGCTCTCTGCATTTCTATACGTTTCTCTCTCTGTCTCTCTGTATCTCTCTCTCTCTCGGTGTCTCGCTCTCTGCATTTCTATACGTTTCTCTCTCTGTCTCTCTGTATCTCTCTCTCTCTCGGTGTCTCGCTCTCTGCATTTCTATACGTTTCTCTCTCTGTCTCTCTGTATCTCTCTCTCTCTCTCTCTGTGTCTCGCTCTCTGCATTTCTATACGTTTCTTTCTCTGTCTCTCTGTATCTCTCTCTCTCTCTCTGTGTCTCGCTCTCTGCATTTCTATACGTTTCTTTCTCTGTCTCTCTGTATCTCTCTCTCTCTCGGTGTCTCGCTCTCTGCATTTCTATACGTTTCTTTCTCTGTCTCTCTGTATCTCTCTCTCTCTCTCTGTGTCTCGCTCTCTGCATTTCTATACGTTTCTTTCTCTGTCTCTCTGTATCTCTCTCTCTCTCGGTGTCTCGCTCTCTACATTTCTATACGTTTCTCTCTCTGTCTCTCTGTATCTCTCTATCTCTCTCTCTCGGTGTCTCGCTCTCTGCATTTCTGTACGTTTCTTTCTCTGTCTCTCTGTATCTCTCTCTCTCGGTGTCTCGCTCTCTGCATTTCTGTACGTTTCTTTCTCTGTCTCTCTGTATCTCTCTCTCTCTCTCGGTGTCTCGCTCTCTGCATTTCTGTACGTTTCTTTCTCTGTCACTCTGTATCTCTCTCTCTCTCTCTCTCGGTGTCTCGCTCTCTGCATTTCTATACGTTTCTTTCTCTGACTATCTGCTCCCCCTGTGCGCGCGTGCGTGTGTGTGCGTGTGTGTGTGTACACGCAGGAAAGGGGAGGCTCCCCGTGTGATCCCGACGGCTGTTGCTCCCCCTCCTCCTCCTCCTCCTCCTGCACCGACTGCTGTCTGAGCTGTGCTCAGAGCTGCGATTGCCGAGTGCCCACCGTGGCCGGCTGCCTTGACTCCTGCTGCCCTCGTCCCAACGTGAGGCCGCTCGCACTCGCGCCAAACTCCCTCGGCTGTCTAAACTGAACCCTACAAACCAGTCGAGCCAACGAAGATGTGTGGCCGCTGGCTTTGAGCGTATTGCAGAGCCGTCAACCCCGTATCATTGCCGCCCTCTACCTTATCACGGGCCAACTCAGACCCTATCGGTGACCCCGTGCCACGTCATGAAGCCCAACGTTCACCCATCACAAGGGAGGAACACAAACAAATAGACTATCACCAGCACTACACTCGCCACTGGTACACTCACCATTACACTCACCACTACACTCACCATTACACTCACCACGAGTACACTCACGACCACACGAACCACTTGCACACTCACCACTACACTCACCACTAGTACACTCACCACTACACTCACCACTAGTACACTCACCATTACACTCACCACTACACTCACCACTACACTCACCACTAGTACACTCACCATTACACTCACCACTACACTCACCACTACACTCACCACTAGTACACTCACCATTACACTCACCACGAGTACACTCAGGACCACACTAACCACTTGCACACTCACCACTACACCCACCACTAGTACATTGACCACGACACTCACCACTACACTCACCACTAGTACACTCACCACTAGTACACTCACCATTACACTCACCACGAGTACACTCAGGACCACACTAACCACTTGCACACTCACCACTACACCCACCACTAGTACATTGACCACGACACTCACCACTACACTCACCACTACACTCACCACTAGTACACTCACCACTACACTCACCACCACCATAGCTTGTCAACCCCTTATTAGTGCCCTACCTTACTGCAGACCAATTCAAACATTATTGGTCACCCGGTGCCCTTACAAATCTCAACGTTCATCCTACATAGTCCCATCACAAGGAAGAAACACAAACAAATAGACATTTTTATGTTGTCAGTATTGAAACGGCTGTACGCCGTATGGGCCTGAAAACTCAATTTCCCTGCACAAGAATACGGGGTAAACCGTATGGGTCGACGTGGTATGACATTGGCACGACAAGACAGAGAGAGGGGAGAGTGGAAACGACGCATGGCAAAATGGGCGGTGGTCCACCTACGACTACCACCACTACTACCGGGCTACCTGCCCCCCATGAATTGTGATGATTGACTTTGAGATCCGTAGAGACACCGAGCTATGCTCCTGTTTTCTCGGCAGCGACCTGGCCATCGCAGCGTTGACAGCGGCTCAACAGAGCGTCTGCTGTCATCGTAACGTGCAGAAATTCACAGTAGCGGCCAAATACTCCTTGGATGCGTGACGTCGATTGTAAGTGTGGTGGGAAAAATCGGAGGACTCTGGAGAAAAAAACTAACGCAGTGACCATCCCGGGGAGAGGGAGACGCAAACTCGAAATGTGCAGCAACGGGCACGGTTCGCGTCCGGGATCGAACTCTCAACCTCCTGCAAGGTAGTGAGCATCTCCTAGCCTTAACAGACTGTCGGGGCAAACGCTGTTAGCGGAGTAGCAGCCTCCTTGCCACCGTGGGTGACCTTTAACCCTTTCCGACGGCGTACGTGTGTCGTCGTACGTACATCGTCGGAATGGGACCGGAAGAAAAACTTAAATAAAATCTGTAAGTCTGTGTGTCTGTGTGTCGTCTGTGTGGCCGTGTCTCTGCGTGTCTGTCTTTGTGCGTGTGTCTGTGTGCGTTTGACTGTGTCTTTGTCTGTCTGTGTGTGTGTGTGCGTGTGATTGCGTGTGATTGCGTATGTCTGTCTGTGCCTGCCTGTGTCTGTGTGTGTTTGTGTGCCAATTCCGATTGGATTTTCCCCTCATGGCGTTTGTAACCACCACAGCGGCCAAATGGGGGCTCTGGATGGGTGCGAGGGTCTGGTAACCCCTCCACCTTCAATTAACTACCACTAAACCATGACGACAAAATTTAATAAATAAGCTTGTGCCGGAGGCCCCAGGGGAAGCCAGGAGACTGAATTCTTACCCTCGGGGCTCCTCCAGAAACAACAAAAAGCCGCTTCGTGTGGCCACGTGGAATGTTCGAACGCTCACTGCGGAGGAGAGACTGCCACTCCTCTGTCGGGAGCTGGACCGGTACCGCCTGGAGGTCCGGTGAATCGGCTCTGGCTCCTGCCACCATGAGGGGTGGACAGTCCTCTACTCGGGGTAGGAGACTGCCAAACAACAGGGTGTGGCTCTTCTTCTGAGAGTGGGGAGTTTCCTATACCTGGGCAGTGTACTCATGACTGGCTCCGGTTTAACAGCAGAGGTCTCACTCCGAATCAGTCGAGCGGCATTATCTTTTCATCGGTTGCGTAACGCTGTGTGGAAGCTACCTTGTCTGTCACTCCGCACTAAGCTTCGGGTCTTCTCGGCCACAGTCATTCCCTCCCTTCTCTACGCTTGCGAAACGTGGACCCCCCCTAATAGAACATCTTCGCCGGTTAGAAACGTTTAGGCTGGCCTGCCTACGATGAATCCTAGGTTTAACCAGGCTGTATTGTATGAGGAGCTCACAAATCCTCGAAAGATCAAAGTCTTATCGGTGAGCTCCTCCGGCAGGCAAGGCTGCATTGGCTGGGCCATGTAACCTACATGCCCAATCACCGCATGCCCAAACAGCTTTTGTTCGGCTGGATCAAGGGGGCTAAACGGGCGCGGCACGGGCTAGAGAAGAGATGGAGTGATGTGGTACAGGAGGACGTGGAGCTGAGTGGACTTGCCGATGACTGGTACCAGCGGCATCAAGATCGGCCTCTGGAGGAGGCTTGTGAAGGATGCTGCTACTAGGCAGTTGGAGGCAGTCGCCCTCTAGCAACAACGGAGGGCGGAGGAGCGACGCTCACAACAAAGAGCAGAGCGCCGGGTGGCTAAAGCACAGCAAGTTGGCACAGTAGGGGGCACAGGTGGTGCATCAGCCAGTCATCTCAGTCATCTCAGTCAGTCGATCCGTGGCACCTGGGTCTGCCCCATGACCTCCTGCCAGTGGACGCCGACACTTCACATGGCCTCAAGGTGCACATAGCCTGGCACAAGCGTCGTGGTGACGTCACCTCCACTTAGTGGCGAATGGCGGTTATTGTTGTTGTGACTGTGTGCATGTGTCCGACTGTGTGCGTGTCTGACTGTACGTGTGTCTTTATGTGTGTCTGTGTGTGCATGTGTCTTGTGTGTGTGTCTGACTGTGTGCGTGTCTGACTGTGCGTGTGACTGTGTGCATGTGACGGTGTGCGTGTGACGGTGTGTGTGACTGTGTGCGTCTGACTGTGTGTGCGTGTGTCTGTGTGCGTGTCTGACTGTGTGCGTGTGTCTGTGTGCGCGTGCTTTGCTCAGCGTTTCAGAAGCACCCGCGCCCACCTCTGTGATTGTAGCGACATCGGCTGCAGCTTTGGTTCGTGCTGCGATTCCTGCTGCGACTGCAACAGTGAGAGAGCAACCGGATGGGGGGGGGGGCGTGGGGGAGTGGTGGGGGTGGCGGGGAGGGGGGGGGGGACTGACCCCCTTGACCCCCACCCCAATCCCACTCCTGCCACCTCTAACCTCTGACCCCAGGGAAATCTAATTTTTTTGCTTTCATTTCAACAATCGTGGGGTGATTTACATCCTTTGGGAAGCTCCTTTTGCGATTTTTTTGTCCTTCGATTTGAAGCTTTCGTGACTGCAAGGATTCATCTTCTTTGGTTCTTTCGGTAAAGTCATTTGATTCTCATTCTACGTGCCTTTACCGAAAGAACCAAAGAAGATTCGTCTGTCCTTTGAATTTGCGTGTCTTTGGTGATTCTTAGGGATCCTTTGCGTGATCTCAATGAGTCTCAAGCGGTTGGGCTAGTCCCCCCGCCCGTAGATTAACGGTGACAATTGGTTTTATCCTTTCCGCAGCAATGAAACAACGGGAGTTGTAGTAATAGGTTTTTACCCTTTTATCTGGCACCAAAACTGACACCTTTATACAAGGGGTCATGTATAAAGGTGTCTTGCTACTGGCAAAGGAGGTCTCATAATGTAAATGCTCACCCCGAGCCCTCAATACTCTGATAGTGCGCTGTTTTTTGAGTTGTACGCCTTTTGGCGTCTTCTGGTCCAACACCAGTGGAGAGACTAAGGGGCTCTAAGAAAATCCGTCTCGGGTGTGGACCAATCAAATTCAAGGACGGTGCCAATATCATTATCAGAGTTGTCTCTTTTTGTTTGCATTTTGACTGCTTGTGTTGTGGTTATTGCAAACATGATCCCTTGTATAAAGGTGTCAGTTTTCGTGCCAGATAAAAGTGTAAAAACTTATTACTATATCTTGCTACTGGCAAAGGAGGTCTCATAACAGGAGTTGTGTTAAGATGTTCAAACACCAAATGAAAACCTTTTGCCAGGAATCAAGTCACTGCATTAACCACACACACGGTACTTGCGGTGAACATGCAAACAGACCGCTCTGATCATTTATAGACATTGTCTTTGAAAGATGCTCACCCCAAGCTATAAATGCCCTGATAGTGCATTGTCCTTGTGCTGTTCGCCTTTTGGCGTTGTTCGCTGGGCTGACGCTGGTGGCGAGACTAGGCGATAAGGAAGTCTGATGTCTCTGGTGTATGCCAATCGGTTTCAAAGACACTGCCGTACAACGTTGTACAGCAAAAACCTTGGATTGCGAGGAGCATAATTCGTTCCGGAAACGTGTTTGTAATCCAAATCACTCGTACATCAGTTGTGATCACGTGACGCTCGGCAGTACAAAGCGTGTATACGTGTACACTGCTCGTATTGCTAAGACCCTCGCTCGTTTATCAAATTAATATTTATTATAAAATTGTTGCTCATTCCTGCAAAACACTCGCAGACCAAGTTACTCGCAATCCATGGTTTTACTGTAGTTGCATTATAATGTAACTATAATGTTCTATGGCAGTGTCTTTAATATTAATTAATTAATATTATTAAAGACTGCCATGTAACACTACAGTTACATTATTATTAAATACAATACCATATAACACTCCAGTTACATTATTATTAAAGACATTGCCATGTAACACTACATTTACATTATTATTATTATTAAATACAATACCATATAACACTACAGTTACATTATTATTAAATACAATACCATATATCACTACAGTTACATTATTATTAAATACAATACCATATAACACTACAGTTACATTATTATTAAATACAATACCATATAACACTACAGTTACATTATTATTAACTACAATACCATATAACACTACAGTTACATTATTATTAAAGACTGCCATATAACAATACAGTTACATTATTATTAAATACAATACCATATAACACTACAGTTACATTATTATTAAATACAATACCATATAACACTACAGTTACATTATTATTAAAGACAATACCATGTAACACTACAGTTACATTATTATTAAATACAATACCATATAACACTACAGTTACATTATTATTAAATACAATACCATGTAACACTACAGTTACATTATTATTAAATACAATGCCATGTAACACTACAATTACATTATTATTAATTACAATACCATATAACACTACAGTTACATTATTATTAAAGACATTGCCATGTAACACTACAGTTAAATTATTATTAAAGACAATACCATGTAACAATACAGTTACATTATTATTAAATACAATGCCATATAACACTCCAGTTACATTATTATTAAATACAATACCATGTAACACTACAGTTACATTATTATTAAATACAATACCATATAACACTACAGTTACATTATTATTAAAGACATTGCCATGTAACACTACAGTTAAATTATTATTAAAGACAATACCATGTAACAATACAGTTACATTATTATTAAATACAATGCCATATAACACAGTTACATTATTATTAAATACAATACCATGTAACACTACAGTTACATTATTATTAAATACAATACCATGTAACACTACAGTTACATTATTATTAAATACAATACCATATAACACTACAGTTACATTATTATTAAATACAATACCATATAACACAGTTACATTATTAGTAAATACAATACCATATAACACTACAATTACATTATTATTAAATACAATACCATGTAACACTACAGCTACATTATTATTAAATACAATAACATATAACACTACAATTACATTATTATTAAATACAATACCATATAACACTACAGTTACATTATTAACTACAACACCATATAACACTCCAGTTACATTATTATTAAACAATAAAATTCTCACGACGTTTCGACACGCAACACCAAGCAATCATCATCATCATCATCGTCGTCAGGTGTGAAAACCACAGCAAGAATTTTTTTTATTATTTTTTTTAAAAAATGACGATGCATCAGATATTAATTACCAGAGAAATCTTGATTTCGAAGCTTTCGTGACTGCAGCGACCCCATGCTCTTTGGCCCTGCGGGTAAAGTCGCGCGTCTGCGTGCAGTGTCGTCATCGCTTGCCTGATGACGGCCGCCTGCGTTGCGATCGAAACGTCGTCATTTGTTTCATTTTATTTTATTTCTGACTAGGTGGACTTTGCCGAAAGAACGTGACTTTAGCCAAGAGAAGCAAAGAGTATGGATCCTAGCAGTCACGAAAGCTTCAAATTCTAGAACCCAAAGAGTATTGGAGAAATGTTTTTTTGTTTGCGTGTTCACCACAGGTACCGTGCGGTGTGGGTCATTGCGAAAGGCTACCATTCGGTGTCCGAACATTTTAAACACGACTCCGCGTTGAAAATTTGATTTGAAGCTTTCGTGACTGTGCAGGGATTCGTACTCTCGGTTCTCTCGGTTAAGGTCACCACCACGTGAGAGGAAGGGAAACAATAAAATAATACAAATATGGTAAAACAACATTTACATATTCTTAGTTTTTTCGGTAAAGTCACGTTGAAGGGAAACAACAAAATAATAAAAAATATATATAAAACAATATATTGTTGTTTCCCTTCAACGTGACTTTACCGAAAAAACTAAGAATATGAATTACTGCAGTCACGAAAGCTTTAAATCAAAACATTTACATAGTTTTATTTTATATTTTTGTTATTATTTTCTTGTTTCCCTTCTACGTGACTCTACCGAAAGAACCAAGAATACGACCCCTGTTGTTTTATTACTGCCAGAAAGGGTAAAACACCAATTATCTTTTTTTCATACTTTGATACTGGCCCCAAAAAGGTCTCCCATGTGTTTTTTTGGTGACAATTGGCTTAAGGTTTTTGGGTTTTTTTTCTTCCCCGGTTGACGTTTCGCCTCCCCATAGAGGACCTCCCCCCACGTCCCCCCCCCCGCCGCCTCCCCGCGAGTTTTCGACCGACGTTAAACTTTGTCGAATCGGAAATCCGAAATGCGTCTTTCAGTCCCGGAGGAATCCGATGAGCTGTGAAGCTCTCTTCTTTTTTTAACTCTCTCACAGACAACCCAACGATACGTGTGGGTTGTGGGGCGGGGCGGGGGGTTGGCCGATCCGTGGCCTCGGCCAACGCAGCGACGCACCGTTTGTGCGTGTCAGCGGCTTGGACCTCAGACTCGCCTTCCTTTGATGCCCAATTCCCGTGTCAACGGCGGTGTTTTTTTTGGCGGAACGGTTATATATTAAAACAAAAAAACATAAACATTAACCCCAGGGACTAAACTTCATTTCTAGTGTTTTCGTGGAGATCTTTCCGCGATTTTTTCGGGGGTGTTTCCGCGATATTTTCGATGGCTTTTGGGTAATTTCTGCTTGCTTTGAAATCGCTTTTTCCAGTACTTCCGTTGCATGGTTTGGACGCGATTTGAATCGTTTGAAGAGATCTGTGATTTTTATTTTGTCTGATTTGAAGCATCTGATTTTAATTAATTGAGATCTTTGCGCGATTTCAAAGATCCTCATGAGATCGTTGAGGATGGTGTCAATCGTTTGCGCACAATTTGAGATTGTTTTGACGTGGTTTTTAATTTTGATTTAAAGCTTTCGTGACTGCAGGGATTCCTATTCTTGCTTCTTTCGGTAAAGTCACCACCACGTAGAAGAAGGGAAACAATAAAATAATATAAAACAATAAAAATTCTCACGACGTTTCGACTGCAACACAATAAGCAATCATCATCAGCTGATGATTTTGTGTTTCATATTTTTATTATTTTATTGTTTCCCTTCTACGTGACGTTACCGAAAGAACCAATAATATGTGGTTTTTAATGTTCTGGTTATATCACATTCTGTCTCGAGTAACTGCGTCTACGTGTGTACAGGCAGTCCCCGACGTACGATGGTCCGACTTACGATATTTGGATTTTACGATAGCAATAGCGACAAAATTGAAGAATATTTTTAATTTCGCGCGGCAGGCAAATGCAGCAGCGTACTATGGGGTACGATACTGCAACTTTATCATCGCCATCCTCCTCTTCCAACAACTAAGTTAATGTAGCCATCAACAACCTAACATCGTTCAAGTGTGCAGACGACGGACAGAATCTTGGCGAGTACAGTAGAATATGATACGTTACGTTCAATGCATGTGTGATGCGTAGCTTCAGCGATTTCATTCTAGGGTTACCACGCTATGATACGTTACGTTCAATGCATGTTAAAAGTTTTTATAGCAGATATAGGATTGTTTCCTGAAAAAAAACTTTCTATGAAATTGCAGTTCACATAGGTAGGCTAAGAATTTACCTTGTTTTTTTTTACTTTAACTTTTACTGTGCAATACAGTATTGTAATAAATAAATACAGTATATAGTTTATACAGTACGCTACTGTAAATTGCTCTGTTTTGCTAAATTATCACCATTCCTTAAGACTCCTGGGTTAGGCTAAGGCCATCTTCGACTTAGGATAATTTCGACTTACGATGGTGGTCGTCGTAATGCATCCCCATCGTAAGTCGGGGACTACCTTGTATAGACATCTATCTGTCTGTGCTTATCTGTCTCTTTCTGTCTCCCTTTGTCTCCATCTTAACCTCTCAATCTCTCTGTATTTGCATGTCTCCCTCTGTGTCTATCTCTCTCTCTGTGTTGTAGCTCTGTGATTCCATTCTGTACCTCTGCTGCCCATGCTCTTAGTGTCTGTGTCTTTCTGTGTTGTAGCTTTAGTGAGTCCAGGCTCTGAGTGTCTCTGTCTCTCTCCCTGTCTGTCTCTGTCTCTGTGTTGTAGCTCTGTGAGTCCAGGCTCTGAGTGTCTGTCTCTGTGTCTCTCAGTGAGTCCAGGATCTGAGTCTCTGTCTCTGTGTCTCTCTGTGTTGTAGCTCTGTGAGTCCAGGCTCTACCTCTGCTGCCCAGGCTCTGAGTGTCTCTGTCTCTCTGTGTTGTAGCTTTAGTGAGTCCAGGATCTGAGTGTCTGTCTCTGTGTCTCTGTGTTGTAGCTCTGTGAGTCCAGGCTCTGAGTGTCTGTCTCTGTGTCTCTCAGTGAGTCCAGGGTCTGAGTGTCTGTGTCTCTGTGTTGTAGCTCTGTGAGTCCAGGGTCTGAGTGTCTGTTTCTGCGTCTCTGTGTTGTAGCTTTAGTGAGTCCAGGCTCTGAGTGTCTGTCTCTGTGTCTCTCAGTAAGTCCAGGATCTGAGTGTCTGCCTCTGTGTCTCTCTGTGTTGTAGCTCTGTGAGTCCAAGCTCTACCTCTGCTGCCCAGGCTCTGAGTGTCTCTGTCTCTCTGTGTTGTAGCTTTAGTGAGTCCAGGATCTGAGTGTCTGTCTCTGTGGCTCTGTGTTGTAGCTCTGTGAGTCCAGGCTCTGAGTGTCTGTCTCTGTGTCTCTCTGTGTCTCTCAGTGAGTCCAGGATCTGAGTGTCTGTCTCTGTGTCTCTCTGTGTTGTAGCTCTGTGAGTCCAGGCTCTACCGCTGCTGCCCGTGCTCCCAGTGCGTCTGCGGGTGGCATGAGCCGGACTGCAACAACTTCAGCTGCCTCTGCTGCTCACTGCGACTCAACTGAGTTCACCGTACCGGAGCGGAGATTCACAGCAGCCTTCAGCGTGTCTTACGTGTGCCTGAGTCTGTGTGTGTGTGGTG